AATTATTCTATGAAATAGAAAAGGGGGGAACTCTTCCAAACTCATTCTATGAAGTTAGTATCATCCTGATGCCAAAACCAGAAAAAGACACATCAAGGAAAGAAACCTTCAGACCAATATCCCTCATGAACATAGATGCAAAAATTCTTAATAAAATACTGGCAAACTGCATACAAAAACATAGTAAAAAGATGGTGTACCATAATCAAGTGGGGTTCCTCCCAGGGTTGCAAGGTTGGTTCAACAAACAAAATCAATAAACATAATTCATCACATCAACAGGATAAAAGACAAGAATCGCATGACTATCTCAATAGATACAGAAAAAGGTTTTGATATCATGAAGATTAATGCTCTCATGTGAAGGTGGCAAAGATATTCTCACATTCTGTAGTCTCTTTGTTCATATTACTGATTGTTTCCTTTGCTGTAAAGAAGCTTTTCAGTTTGATATCATCCTATTTATTGATTCTTGATTTTGAGTATCCCTTCATGCTCCAAATACTGGAAAAACTAGGGATAGTAGGAATATACCTCAACACTGTAAAACCTATATATGCTAAATCCAAGGTCAGCACCATTCTAAATGGAGAAAAATTGAAAGCATTCCCTCCAAATATAGGAACAAGACAGAGATGCCTTCTTTCACCACTTCTATTCAACCTTGTCCTTGAAACCCTAGCCAAAGCAATCAGGCAAAAGAAAGAAATTAAAGGGACACAAATAGGAAAAGAAGAGCTCTAACTATTCCTATTTGCTGACATGATTCTATATATAGAAGACACACACACACACACAAAATAAAACAGAAAGCTTCTAGACCTCAAATGAATTCAGCAAAGTAGCATGATATATTAGTATATATTGATACCCATAAATCAATTAGTATTAAGGCCATTTGTCAATCAATTAGTATTAAGGCCATTGACAACATGAATCCTCCACCTCTACTTAAGCTTATTACTGCTTTGTACTGCACAGTAAAACTTGTTCAAAGTATGTGTGTGATTCTCAGGGTTTGCTAAGTGAGCCTTTAATGCCTCCCTCCACCTTCCATCAAAAAAAAAAAAATGCAAATGATACAAGGTTTTGCCACTTTAAATTATCAAGTGTATGCACCTTGAGAGAACTTACTTCAGCTGGGGCCAACCTAACAATCCACAGGGTGATATCATGGGGACACTCTGCTAGGCAGGAAACCTAGATATATTCAAATAAGTGTTAGATGGAAAGAAATGCCTCAAAAGCTAAAAAGAAACGCATCCCTCAGTGATGATTTTTCAGGCTCTACTTGTTGAACAAATGAAATAAACCAAAAATAAATCTCTTGCTCCTAACCTTTAGTTCACCTCCCCTAGAAGCAGTAGTTATGAAGTTTCTTGGGTGAGTTGAGACATTTTATAGGTGAGTATCTTACTTTCTTTAAACACCTTGGAGATGGTTTTGTTGGCACACACCTCATGCCTTTTTAACTGCCAATATTTCTTAGTGCTAACTATATTTAACCAGTTCCCTACTGAAGGGTGTTTAATATGCTTCCAGTATCTCAAAGCTACAAAATGATGCAATCAATGAGGATCCTATGCATGTCTTTACACACATGTGAGGATTCTGTGGATAACTTTCAAATTGCCTATTTTCACATTAGCTTCCATCATCATATAAGCAATTTTCAAAATGCAGAATATTGTGCATGCCAGATTGAGAAGAATGGCCTTTTCCTTCCTATTGGTTCAACAAGAGATATTAAGTTGTTCTCCTCACATAAAATCTCTCAAGACAGACTCCAAAGCCTTAATAATTAAACCCACCCATCCTAAGATAAGCACAATATGCTGTGTGGGGAAAATGTTCCCAGAACATGTTGAAGCACAACATTTTTGCAATGTGACATAAATCTGGACTGTTGTGTGCTGATGACAGCAGAAATACTATCCATCAAAAATGGGGGTGATGCTCTTTAAACAAAGCTTACATGCAGACTGCAAGGTACAGTGTTCTCGGAAAAGCATCAGATTGGACTGTTGGAAGCAGGACATTCCCAGAGTAGTAATTTCTGTTCACCAGCTCAGGGCAGAGGACTTGTAAGCATTATGGAAGTGTGGAGTATATTGGAAAAATAATCAAAAGAACAAGAGCTCAGGTATGGTGGATACTGTGAATTGGCCACAGAAGTTGGCTGAGGGACCAAGAAGTTGGGAAGTCTTCCCTGCACTGAGTTCTAAGAGATGGTGGTAAGAAGACAGGAAAGAGATACTTCTACACACTTATTATAAACCAGGCCCTACAATGGGAAGAAAAGAAAAGGCACACCTAAGAACTGAGTAGATGTACCAGTTATAAAAAGGTTGTGGAGGAGAGAAAAAGAAGCAGGACATAATCAAAAGTTATAAGCTTTAAGGGCCAGAGGAGATGGGTAGTGAGGGGCTCCCTATGTATTATCTTAAGAAGTCTTCAAAACCTGGGTTGGGGTTGTAGCTTAGTGGTAAAGCATTTGCTTAGCACAGATGAGGCACTGGGTTCAATCCTCAACACCACATAGAAATAAATAAATAAATAAAAATATTGTGTCTATCTACAACTAAAATATTTTTAAAACCCTGCCTTTAAGTCAGATTAAATACCAGTCCAACTTGGTAATTCCTGGAATCTATGGATATATTAACTTAGATGGCAAGGGAGAATTAATATCAGTTTGCCTTAAAATAAGATTATCCATGTGGACCTAATACAACAAGAGGGTCCTTTAAAGTAAAAGGATGAAAGAGTTAAGGAGAGATTTGGAGATGCTCTGCTGCTGGTTTCAGAAGATGGAGGAAGGGATCCTAAATAAAGGAATATAAGTAGGCTCTAGGAGCTAGACAAATAATTAAATGAAACTTCACTCAGAAGGAATCACTCTTGCCAACATCTTGACTTTATCCCAGTGACACCCATTACAGATCACTGACTTCCAGAATTAAATAATTTGATGTTTTATTAAGCAAGTAAGTTTGTGGTGACTTGTTACAAATGGGCAACAATGGAGGAACTGATAACACTGAGAGGCAAGAGTCTCCACTAATAGTCCCTAAAGATGATTTCATTTATTAAATGTCATTGACCAATGATTATATCCAGGCACTGTGCTGAATGCTACAGACTCAATGGTGATAACAGCTCCTGCTTATATGGAGCTCACAGCTACTCAAATGGCCTGTTACCTGGTACCTACTATTAAGTATTCTGAGTGGGTGGCCGGATTGCTACAAGGCCTGGTATGATTTGATGCCCTGTATACTGTCAACTCTCTTGTATCCTCATTTTTAAAAAATATTTTTTAGTTTTTGATGGACCTTTATTTTATTTATTTGTATGTGGTGCTAAGGATTGAACCCAGTGCCTCACACATGCTAGGCAAGCTCTCTTCCACTGAGCCACAACCCTAGCCCCCTCTTGTATCCTCAATTTTATTGCCCTTTTACTATTCCTTGCCTCCATTAAACATGCTCCTATCTCAGGGCCTTTGCGCTTGCTATCAACATCCTACAATGTTCTATATGTTTGTATGATTTTGCTCCTCTTGTCCAAGATAGCTCAGTGCTATCTTGTCAGTGATAAACTCTGAACTACAGTATATAAAAGCATTCCCATGCCCACATGACCATATCACTTTCTAGATCCCTTGCCTGGTTTTATTGTTCTCTATATAATTTTCGCTTGCATATAAGGTGGTTCACTGAATGTTGGAGAAAATATGTCCTGAAATCCAGTCTCCCCTGTTCTAAGAACTGTACTCCTTAGCAGGGGCCTAAGTCTGGCTGGAGGAGGAAGCTTTTTATAATTCACACAGTGTTGCTGTGTACTACCTAAGGCATGTGCCTTTTTCTAACTTGCAAAGACACCATATTGTTCATTAGTATCCCCATTTTTTCATCATCTAGTAGAATATAAATTCCAGAGGAGCAAAATCTTTGCTTGTTTGTTCATCTTTGCTTCCATAATGCTTAGAACAGTATCTGACAGATAGGAAGTAGTAGATAGGTCTTTTTGTCTAGGTGGATGAAAGGATGCATGGAGGGTGAGAAATGTGCAAGTAAACAGAAGTGCCAACATTGTGTATTGAATGTCATGGTAAGGCTGTGGGCAGGATAGTGAGGAAGCTCAGAAGTAACCTTGCCTTGAGAGATCAAAAAATGTGTTCCAAGACAACTTTTATTTGGATTTCCTTGTTCTTAAATTTCATAGCTCCTAGGGTCAAAACTGTTTAGAGATAATCACATTTAGATTTGGAGCTGAACAATTCTAGATATACCCTCTACACATGCTTCCTCTGAGATTTCTGCAACAGCAATGATTACCTCTTCTACCTTGGTTGGGATCAAGGAAGGGAATGTGAGTGAACCTAGGGTAAAAAACAAAACAATGTCCACCCAGCTTACTGGAATTCCATTCTGGAGTGAGTGAGCAATCCTAGAGTGCATATACTACAACAAAGTTTTACATTGGGGGATAGTGCCGCAGTCCGGCTGCAGCAAAATAACCAGGGGGGGGGGGGTGACGAGCAACTTGTGTACATTGATACAGCAGGAGTGGGAGCCGTTTATTGTAGGACAGGAGGGGTATATATACATTCCACCACACAGCTTATCTTAATTAACATAAACTAGATACAGCAGTCAACCAATAAGGAATCTCCACACTTAATGGCTTGCTGGCTTTACTTCACAAACCACTCCCTCTGGCAAAATGCCAGGTGCCATCTTGACTTGTTTACAAACCCTAACAGGATAGGATTAAGATGGCAAGAGAAGAAAATGTATTACAGAGTTTTGGAACTCTCTTGAGTCTTCAAGTTTCTCTGAGTTTATAATTTTACAGACAAAAGCAACATGATTCTGGTCAGAGTTAATTAAATGGAGGAGCATACGTTTTAGGAATGGGATATCAGTGACTGTTCTGATACCATAATAAACTTTACAACAATCAGTGAAAGCAAGTGTTTAGAAAAGAGAACTTACCTTTAATACACTTAGAAACATTCTGATGGTCACTTCCCAGAAAGAATAATAAAACTTCACTTTGATGATGCCCAACTTAACAAGGGTTAGAGAAACAAGTATTAGAGAACAGGAAATAGTTTCTTCCTTTTGAATCTCTACACATATTAAATACTGTTCCTAGAGTCGCAAAAATCCTTACAGAATCCTGAAGCTGAAAAGGGTGATAGACAGCAAGCTTGCATATAAGGTGGTTCACTGAATGTTGGAGAAAATATGTCCTGAAATCCAGTCTTTGGTACACTTTCACTTTGGTACACTTTGGTACACTTTCACTGTATAAGGAAAGAAAATTGGTATCCATGGATTGACTTGCTCTTGGCTACACAGAGTTAAAGCAAGAACATTGGCATCTTGAAATCAAGTTCATTGATTAATTGTTCCATGCCCGAGAGTCAAAAGAGTGGGTTCTTTTCCAAAATTTTGGTTCAGGAGCTCAAGGATATCCTTGAATTAACAGATGAGCCAGGTTTTACTTAAGAGATTTTAAGCACTCATTTAAACAACACTACCCACCTACAGGCTATCTTGGCAATCTTGGATCAATGGCAACTTAACTTCCATCCTAAAGCTATAAAAAACAAACACAAATGTAAATTCCATCTTTCAAGATCTCAGTAAATATCTCTCTCTACCTAGCCTGCCTTCTCTTTTTTGAAAAAGAAAAAAAATTGAGGGGATATCCATTCCAGCATCACGGACCCAGTCCATTGATAACACCCTTAATCCCAATTGCGCCAGAACTGGTGCTGATTACTTGGGTATTGACCACAATTCCCTCCGCACCTGTGTGCATTACTACTGTGTGTTTCAGACCACTGACCAGGTGTGATGTGGTGTTTGCCAAATGTGCTCTCCTGTCAGGATGGCCTCAGGTCTTAGCCTAAGCAACTCCATTTTAAAACTCCAGTTTGAAACCTACAGTCTCACCTGGTACACCTATGGAGCCCTCCAGTATGGCCCTCCTACACAATCAAGTCACTTCTCCCTACCCTGACAAACTCAGAGTGAAGTCTCTGACATATTGCCCTGGAAAAGCAAGAAAACCAGTGGTGCGGACCAGACCAGATGCTTTAACCTCAGGACAAATGACATCACTGAGAAATCCGGTGGCAGCTGATAGGGATTGAAAGGGTGATCAGAAACCCCCAAATTTAGTATAAATGATGGAGCAAATGAACAGACATTCAACCAGCTGACACTGATGCACACAAGCCTGAGAGCCTGATGAGGACTTGGACTGACATCCCAATTCTTCTCATCTACCTGATCCTCTTTGCTGTTCTCACCGCTCTCAAACTCTACAGCAGCCTCTTGACTCTAGTGAGAAAAGGACTTCTCCCAGGACAGCCTCCTCAGCCAGCCATCAGCTCAACCCCAGGAGAAGCCTGCCTTGGTTCCTGTATGATCCCCACTGTCTGAGTGAATGTGCATCTGCTGGACTTAGAGCCTAAGGCCTGAGACTTTTGATCTGACACTTCAGCTTAGCATGCAGAGGGAATGTCTACTATGAGCCTGCCATGATTAAGTGTGTTTGCAGTGCTTAGAATTAATCTAGAATTGTTTGCTGTGAATTGATTATGTCTGATGCAATGCCTAGGATTAAGAATTGTTATTTTCTTGATAAGAACCTGTAGATGGCATTGTATTGAATGATTTGAGTGAATAAAGCATTGAAAACGGCAGAAGCACAAGGACATTCTTTATTTCTCCCCCTCCACTGCATAAGTCGCACTTTTTGCCCATCGCGACACCTCCTCTCTTGAAAATATGCCAACTGCTAACAATTAGTAGATCCAGCCGCTCATTTCTTAGGTTACTTACTTCCGACACTGGGTTTCCTAAAGGAGCCCGGCTGCCAGCGCCATCAACAGTTATATCTGATTGAGTCTGTCCTCAGGGGTGTGGGGACCCAGAACACAGGGGGACTGCCGGGGTACAGGGTGCGCTGAGCAGAGCGCAGAGCCGGCTGGCCGAGGTGTGTCGCTGAACGACCCGCACAGACACCGCAGCTTTAAACAACTAGCGTCTAGGAGACCGGTGTTCCTTTCCCCGCTCCTCATCTCTGGGAGGAAACCACGATTGGAGCAGCCGAGGCGGCAAGTTCAAGGACTAGCTTGAAGTCGCGTTGACAGAAGGCGCACAACTTGGGGTGCCCGATGCCAGCGGGATCTCCGCCTCTGGATTCCACGGAACAGGAAGTGCCCCGCGTTGCCGTGGCTACGGCGCCGCGCTCACGGCGGCGGGGTGGGGACGTTCCGTTCCCATGGCAACCCCCATTGTCTTTCCAGGGCAGGAATCCAGGCGGCCCAGGCCGAAGGCGACCTTGTTGACCCTCTAGTTAACGCCGGGCACAGTTGTGGCTCCCAGGACCCGGTCGGCCGAAGCCTCGACGCTGACGCCGCCCTCTGTAGCCGAACAGCGCGGGCGAGGGAGCCTGGAGGGCTAGAGCCGGGGTGTGGCTTCTCAGCCCGGGGCCAGGTACGCCGCAGAACGCCGCCTCGGACCAGTGCTGCCCGCTGGAGCCTCCGCGGTGCTAGGAGGGAGCTCCAGACCCGGTTCTGTGGCCACTGGGCTCACCAAGTTACCGAGGAACTATGCGGAAAAGGAGAAAGCGCCCTGTCCTTAAGAGCGGGGCCTAAATGTGGTGCCCTAGATCTTATGGGAACAGAATGTAGGAGTTTTGAAAATAGGGATTAGAGGGAGAAATTAGTGAATATTCCATCTGAAATTTGGATATTGGGTATACTGGAACCTGGGTCAGAGACAGCTACTTGTGGATCCGATGGGAATCCACAAGTATGAGTCACATTCTAGGATGAAATGAGGAGGGACTTGGTAGATATTAATGTTCCATAATTGTGCATTGGATTTGGATTCCACTTACATGACAGCCTTGAGAAGTGAATTTCACAAATATTTATAAACCACATTTTCCACCATGTGTTTTCAACACATTTTCCTCATCACCTAACAGCAACCACCAAAGTAGACATATGGGTTTTAGTTCCTTAACTAGAATCTCCTATTAAATACTGAAATGACCCCCCCCCCCCCGAAAAGGAGGAGAATTAACCAATCCATTGGTTGTACTTCATTTAGTGCTGAGAACTAGTTGCTTTGTTTGGTTACTCTTTCCATCAAGCCTGCCAAAGAATAGCTAAGTAGGTGACCATAGTTTGGATGACCCAGGAGATGTAAAGGTGTGGCTTTTAAGAGTAAAAACAACAATAACAACAGGAACAATAACGATAAAAAAAATCATTTTAGAGAGTACTCTAGAGTAGAAATTAGGAAAAAGAAATTTAAGTCAGATTTTTTTTTTTGCAAATGTCTTTATGTTCTGCTTTCTGAGTCATCTTCATACATGAGTTTGTATAGTCTATTTGTGGATTTATATTTGGCACTTTAAACTTAATGTTAGTAGTAGCCAACAGGGAGAAAATAGAACAAATTCCTAAGCCTTTTCTCCCAAAGCTGATCTCATGTGTGACTCTTGGTAGGAAGAAGATGCAAGCCAGCCCCATCTATATCCCAACTGTTAACAATGACATTGACTGGGACTCCTGCTTCCATCGGTAAGTACCACAGAACCCTGACATCATGCTCCCTCACTGGCCAGAAACACAGGGACCCCTGTCCCCCTTAAGGCAAGCCTAGGTGAAACTATGCGTGCACATTAGACAGAAGAGAAAGTTCTGCTGTGATGTGTTTTAATAGTAATTATGGTGTAGTGTCCATTTGGATCTTCAGCTTTGCAATATAGAAGATAATTATTTATTTCCCTAATTTACAAAAATTTTAAGTTTTTAAAAACAAAAATAGGTTATTTATTTATTTATTTATTTTTGGTTCCAGGGATTGAACTCAGGGATGCTCGACCACTGAGCCATATCCCAAGCCCTATTTTGTATTTTATTTAGAGACAGGGTCTCACTGAGTTGCTAAGCACCTTGCCATTGCTGAGACTGGCTTTGAACTCGCGATCCTCCTGCTTCAACCTCCCAAGCCGCTGGGATCATAGGCGTGTGCCACTGCACCCAGTAAAAACAAAGATAGGTTATTTATAATAAGACTGGTAAAGTCATGGAGAAAAATATAATAAAATTTTGAGAAAATTGCTTTATGAAATGAAGAGATAACAAATTAAAATTTTTAAACCATAATTCATTTTTGAGCATATATTATATGCCTATTTCCTAACATCTCTGTGAATGAGATACCACCTTTGAAGAATATAAATCAAAGAGAGGTTAGGCAGTTTGCCCAGGTCACACAGCTAGTTGATGGTTAATGGTTTTCAAACTATGCAGTCTCATTCCAAACTCTATTCTTTATCCATTTCTTTATTCCATATTATTCCAACCTTGGTGCCATTTTGAGTCAGATAACTTTGATTTGGAGGGATAGCCTATGCCTTGAGGGATATTTAGCAGCATCTCTATTAAGTACCCAAATTGATGTGTGTTAGTCAGCTTTTCATTGCTGTAACCAAAATATCTGACAAGAACAATTTAGTGGGGCAGTAGAGTGCTTGCCTAGTGCATGTGAGGCACTGGGTTCAGTCCTCAGCACAAAATACATAAATAAAATAAATGTATGTCCGTCTAACACACACACACACACATATATATATATACACACACATACATACATACACACATACCTACAGTTTAGTGTAGAGGGAAAGTTTATTTGGGCTCACTGTTTCAGAGGTTCAGTCCATGATTGACCAACTCCATTGCTCTAGGCCCAAGATAAGGCAGAACATCATGGTGGAAAAGCATGGTAGAGGAGAGAAGCCCAGGACACAGTAATGAGAGAAGCAAAGGGAGAAAGGGGGAGGGGCCACACAGAAGATGAACCTTTTCAGGGTATGTTCCAGCTATTACCTCTCCACCAGCTATATCCCACTTGCCTACTGTTACCATCCAGTTAGCCCATTCAAACTAGGATGGATTGTTTACAGCTTTCATAATCTTAATTATTTTATTTCTGAATATTCCTACATTAACATAGGAGCTTGGGGGGGGAGGGCTTATATCCAAGCCATAACAAGATGTCAGTAGCATCATTGTCCCAGTTGGGACAACTGAAAATGTCTTCAGTTATGGCCAAATGTTCTCTGGGTATAAAATCATCTTTACATACAAACCATTGTTCTGTATCAGTGCTATTGAATAGAAATATAATGGGAGTTATAAATAAGAGCCCAATGCATAATTTAAATTTTTCTGGTAGCCATAGTAAAAAGTAAAATGAAACAGGTAAATTTAAACTTAAAAATAATATATTTTACATGTCTCACTAAAAATATTATATAAAATTATTAGTGGAATATTTTACATTTATTCATGATAATTCAAATTTAGTGTGTACTTTACACTTAATAGCACATCTCAGTTCTGACTAGTTACATTTCATGTTCCAAATAGCCACATTAACTACTGGTTACCTTACTGGATAGCATATTGTATACAATCTCATAAAATACCTTGAACTTAAATGTTATAGAACTACAACAATTGCAATTTTTAAAATGTAGCATTTACAATAGAATATCTTAGAAATAATCAGATAATTCATAATGAATACAATATTACTTGTCAGAATTCATATTTGCCATAGCAACATATATGGAATAATTTATAAACCTAGCAAGGCAAATCCTTCATCAAACCTGCTTGGTTTTTTTTTTCTTTCTTTTTTTTATTTGTTCTTTTTAGTTATACTTGACAGTAGACCGTGTTTTGACGTATTATATATACATGGAGTACAACTTCCAATTCTTCTGGTTATACTCCTCCTGGCAAACTGCCCATATAGATTTGGTTACTCTAATAGATTTATCTTCTGCTCCAGTCCTATGAAAAATGCAGCTCAAGCAAAATTTTCTATAGAGGGAGTAATGTTTTTGGTTAATTTTCTTAAGTTTTAATCTTGATACAGATTTCCTCTCTTCTCAGCATTTTTCAAACATTATAAAAACATTATAAAGTTCTTTTTTCATTTGTTTACTCATTCTGTATATTAATCAGCATTTCATTGCTATGACCAAAATAACTGTCAAGAACAACTTAGGGGAGGAAAGATTTATTTTGGTTCACAGTTTAGAGCTCTCAGCACATGGCCGACTGGCACAATCACAGAAACATCATGGTGGAAGGATGCAGTAGAGCAAAGCTGTTGAGCTCCTGGCAGCTGAGATAAACCCTTCCAGGGCACACCTCTAGTGAGTACTTCTTCCATCTATGTCCCAGATCCCAGTAATCCCTTCAGCTATCAATGGATGAATCCACTAAGTGGATTATTCCACTGATGAAATCAGATCCCTAATCATCGCCTGAAAGCCCCACCTCTGAACCTTGCCATATTAGGTCCATGGTGCCAACACATGATCTTTTGGGGACATTCTGTATCCAATCACAATATGTAACAAGTTATTATTTGAATTTACTGTGAGCCACTTAGCACTGTTTTGAAACAAATGAGACTCAGCCCATCCTCTGGTGGAGTTTACCTGCTAGAAGGCAAAGAAGACTCAACAACAACATAAAGAAACAAACAAAAAACCAAACTATAGTATGAATTGTATTATAATTGTTATATTATAGGGGCTTAGAGAAATTTTTGCAAGCCTTTTGGAGTGCCTCTTTATCACTACTCCAGGGAAAGACTTATGGCAGAGGTCACATCTGGGTTATGTCTTGAAGGATGATATGAAATTCATCAATCAGAAAGGAGGAGAGTTTTTGTTTGTTTGTTTGTTTGTTTGTTTTGTTTTTTATTTATTTGGTACCGGGGAATTGAACTCAGGGGTGCTTAACCACTGAGCCTTATCCCAAGCCCTTTTTTAAGGAGGAAAACACCTCTGATTACATCACATTGCCAATTTTCCCTGGCTTTTCCATTGAATTGATATGTCCACTGAAAGCACACTTATCTATGGGAAGAAAGGAATCCTGCCTGGGCCTGGCCTGAAGAAATGTTACTCCCTGCCCACACACCTTGGCACACCTGCATGGATAGGTCATTTGGAATAGGATTCTGGATGTTAGTGTATCATTTCTCAAACTTGATGTAAAAGATTCACTTGACATTTATTTTCCTTTCATACTTTCCTTTAAAAAAATAAGCATATGTTACTTTATCCGTGGAAAAGAAAGATAAATTTCAATTTTAAAACTTGGCAGTGGTTGGATTTTTTTAAAAGCTACTGTGAATACAAAGGTTATTTCTGTGAGAAACTTGTTGTTACTCTTAAGATCTTAGAATTCTGTTTCTCTTTCATTGTATAGGATTATTTCTTGTGACTTTCTTTACAAATCCAGTTACCTCTTCACAATTAAAGTGATATCTTCACATTGAAGTCAGATATCTACATTGTATGTGAATGTGTGTGTGTGTGTGTGTGTGTTTTCAAGTGTGTAAGAGAGAGAGGGAAATTTTCAGTTAGCTCTTTCTCACCATGTTTAGTTCTAACACAACTGAGGAGGCCAATTCTCTCCTGACTATGCACATGTCCCAGTGTAGGGTTCCTCCTTTTTGCCCTAGTAGGACTCATCCTCTTTACTTAGTTAGCCACTCTGCATTGAAGCTTTTAACATAGATAAAAGATGGACATGGATGTATGAAATGTAGCTTCAAAATGTTAATTCCCTATCCCTCGTATCACTATATTTATTTTCTGTTGTGGTTTGGATCCGAATTTCAGGATGTTTGAGATTTTCCAATTCAATCTGCTCATTTTGTAGACAAAGGAAATAAATCATGGAGCTAATTATATTAGTATTAGTTTATGTTAAAGGAGCACTTACTAAATGCCAATCATCATGATAAATCAATATGAATATTACCTCATTTAATTAACTTTATCAGGTGGGTATTCATGTTAACTTCATGTTACAAAGAACAAGATTAAGTGCTAGCTTGTTCAGGGACATGTAAATAAATGGCAGAGCTGTTACTCTAATGCAGATGACTAGTTTGCCAAAAGTTAGTAATTTAATCAGCACATTGTTATGCTGGATGCTGGGCTTTGAGAGTGACCTGTCTTTATCCCTTCAAGTTTAATATAGAAAACATGTCACTATCCTCCAGTTGGGAGTACTATAGCCTTCAATTTTTTCTTGTTTGTGAAGTCTGACTTCATGTCCCTCTCATACCCACAGGTCACAGCAAACCCCCATCCCAGCACAACAGCAGACAGATGAGTTGTACCCCACTTATGGGTCTGAAGAGAGTGAAGAAGATCCTGCAGTCCAGGAGGAGGAGATAAGCACAGACTATATGTCTCTTCCCAAAGAAAAACTAGTTCAGTCCCAGAAGAAAATAACTCAGCTGATTAAGGAAAAACTGGTAAGATAAAAATTAAGTTTCTGTTTCCACATAAAAATATGCCCATTGGGCTTGGGTTGTTGCTCAGCGGTAGAGTACTCGCCGTTTATGTGTAAGGCCCTGGGTTCAATCCTCAGTAACACATATAAATAAATAGAATAAAGTTATAAAAAAAGTGAATTAAAATAATATGCCCATGGTTAGAGAATCTCTGCATTCACTGCAGGCAGAATGAAGCACACAAAATAAAATGAAATGCTACATTTCTTTGTAAATGGGAAGAAAATCAGGGAACAGTTGAGTAGCCAACCCACCTTCCAATTCCCCACAGGGTTCACCATCTATTCCTCCCTGGAGCATTTGTGCTCCTAGCTTTAAACTAAGAATTAATTTGCCTTTTCCAGTTGCCATAGGATTAAGTTTGATTAATTAATTTTTAAGATTTCTCCTGGAAGGTTTCAGGATGATACCACTTGGGAAATTACTAGAGGGCCAAGATATAAAGGCAGGAGGCTAAGAACAAGGGTAGCCAAGCAGAAGTCTAGGTTGAGGCCTGTAAAGGATATGGGTAGGGTGCTTGTGGTTACAGTGGAATCATAAAACACCCAAAAGACCAGAAGCAGGAGGGAGTAGCGTCAGAGATCAAAGAGTTTAGGTATGCGTTTCTAAGAGTTAGTCAACACCTTGGGATCTAAGATCTTTGAGCCAGTGTGTAAGCAAGAGTGTTCAAAACCCAGGATCTTGAGACAGTAACATATTGACTTTTATTATTAGAACACAGACATCAGCTTGCTTCTAGGCCTGATTTATCAACAGAGTTCATATACTGACTTCTTGTCTGTTCCAGGTCAAGAGGAAATAATGGTTTCAGAGTTAATGTGTTCTCTTGCAGATAAGGGCTGAGAGGCACCTCAGAGGCATATCATAGGAACTGATACCTCTTCAAGATGGACACCTATAAGCTTACTTCTATAAATTATCTAGAAACCTTGCAAAAGACTATCATGGCTGGACCTATTAGTATGTCACACATCCAAACTAGGAGACCATTTTGTCTGTCATGATTTCCAAGTGTGAGCTTTGGAGGCTTGACAACTCCTTAGCCAGTTTGAGTAATAACAAAGATTTAGATCTTAGGAGTTAAATGTAACCCAACTCAGAACTCACAGACCAACCAGAAGGGCAAGGGAGTACCACCACCAGCAGCAGCAACACTGGGGTGAACTCTAAGCCCATATTGGTGGGATCATTTTTCCTTGAGCACAGGAGTTTGGGGATGAATACAGACTGTCCAGAGTCAGGTATAACTCAAAGCTTTGGGCTCCCATTTCTGTGATTTTTTCATGGCATTATGCCTTTTCCTCAAAATGGAACTTAATATTTTCATTTAGATAGTGCTTAACAAATTTAGCTCACATAAATGCTGACTTTTTTCTTATAGTAACTCTCTAAGGTCGATAGTATTGGTTTCCAAATCTCAGAAAAGAAAACTATGATCAGGATGATCTATCTCAAAACAACATAATTAGTAAATATTAGAACCAAGGCTAAAACTTTGCACTTTTTATTCCTCATAGTGCTATTTTCATTTCACCAAAAAATAAATGCCTGAGTCTGTTGAATTGTGCAGCCAATAGATGATCATGTTTGTAAAGTCACTGAAACACGTGACTTGAAGGTATAATTCTGTGGTTTCTGGAGCTCTGCCCCTCAGCTCCACAGTGGCAGAGGGGCTCTTTCCTCCACCCCATCCTTACAGTGATTCATTCAGCAAATATTGAATGTGAATCTCCTCTGTGCCTTGGGCATAAAGGAGTTGAACATGAGGAATAAGCTTATTTGTTCAAGGAAGACAGATAATAGACAAATAAAGATCATAGCTAATATAATATGAACTAGGAGTGAGTGCTATGAAGAAAAAAAATCAGTAATGGAACAATGAGTGATGCAGAGAAAGGTAATTTAGAAAGGTGGCCAAGAAAGACCTCATTAGATGAACAAAATGAAAAAACAGGAGACTGAACTATGTAAAAGAGTGCTCCAAGAAGGGATTATAGTAGATGCAAAAATTCTACATTGAAATTAGGTTGACACATTCATGTCAGAGTAGTTATCATAGGCGAATAAGAGGAGAAGAAGAAAGAGGTAGAAAATGAATGAGGTGATTAGGGTTGGGTCATATTAAATAGAGTCTTGGAGGCCATAGTAGGAACTTTGGGTTCCATTAAAAATAAAAGAGTGAGAAGCTATGGAGGGTTTTGTACAGGAGAGTCACATGATCTAATTCATTTCAAAATATTACACTGGCACATAAAATATGTCTAAAATTTTATAAATTTATAATAATAAAGTATTTGGTCACTTTTAGAGGATGCTAGTGAATGAAATTGTTTTGAAAGCTGATAAAAATAAAAACCAGGTATCCTGCCTTTCTAATACAAACTGTACTATAACTATAAAAATACATGAGGGGAAATTTCTCCATGTAGAATTATTCCAGCTAAGATATGAAGAAAGAATGACAGAATTATGATATGAGAATTTTATAATCTTTCATGAATTGGCCCATGTAGTTGTGCTAAAAAAAGAGACAACTGGATGGTACTTATCTTCTGATGGAAGGATATATCATACATATGAAGTAAAGACTCAAAGCTAAGGTTGACCAAACTTCTAAATCCAACTACCAGTATAAATGCAGAACAGATAATGGAGGGAATGTTGAATGACAACATTGGGATGCAGTCAACAAAATTCACCCCTGTAGCAAATACTAGAGGAAAGAGGCCCAGTTTCTTCAACAAATAATACGATAGGAAAAAAAATAGTATGGATAGAGATGAAGCCTATGATGAAAAGAGAGAGACACAACAGACTGACCTCATGACAAAACTCAACATTCATGCTCAAAACACTAGAAAAACTAGAGATATAGGAACATACACAACATTGTAAAAGCTATATATGCTAAATCCAAGGCCACCATCATTCTAAATGGGGAAAAATTTAAAGCATTCTCTCTAAAAACAGGAACAAGACAGGGATGTCCTCTTTCACCACTTCTATTCAACATAGTCTTGGAAACTCTAGCCAAAACAATTAGAAGAAACAAATTAAAGGATATGAATACAAAAGAACTCAAAACTATCCCTATTTGCCCATGACACAATTTTATATCTAAAAGACCCAAAAACTCCACTAGAAAAAGTATAAAACTCATAAGTGAATTCAGCAAAGTAGCAGGGTATATAATTAACACCCATAAATCAGTCGTGTTCCTATACATCAGTGATGAATTAACTGAAAGAGAAATTAGGAAAAGTATCCCATTCACAATAGCCTAAAAAAAATTGGGAATCAATCTAACTAAATAGGTAAAAGACCTCTGTAATGAAAACTACAGAACTCTAAAGAAAGAAATTGAAGAAGTCCTTAGAAGATGGAAAGATCTCCCATGTACTTGGTAGGCCAAATTAATATTGTCAAAATGGCCATACTACCAAAAACACTATACATATTTAATATAATTACTATTGAAATTCCAATGATATCCTTCATATAAATAAAAAAAACAGTCATGAAATTTATTTGGAAAAATAAGAGACCCAGAATAGCCAAAGCAATTCTTAGCAAGAAAGGTGATGCAGGAGGCTTCACAATACCAAACCTTAAATTATACTGCAGAGCAATAGGAGAAAAGATAGCCTCTTCAACAAATGGTGCTGGAAAAACTAGTAATCCATATGTAGCAAAATGAAATTAAACTTGTATCTCTCATCCTGCACAAAACTCAATAAAAATGGATCAAGGACATAGACATTAAACCAGAGACCCTGTGCCTACTAAAAGTAAAAGTAGACTCAACTCTCTATCATGTCAGCTTAGGAATTGAATCCTCAACAAGACTCCTAAAGCACAACAGATATAATCAAGAATCAATAAATGGCATGATATCAAACTAAAAAGCTTCTTTACAGCAAAGGAAAAAATCAAGAATGTGAACAGAGAGCCTATAAAATGGGAGAAAAGCTTTCCAATTTGCACCTCAAATAGAGCATTAATCTCTAGGATATATAGAGAACTCAAAAAACTTAACACCAAAAAAACAAACAAACAAATAACCCAGTCAATAAATGGGCAAAGGGACTGAACAGGCACTTCACAGAAGAAGAAATATGATCGGTCAACAAATATATGAAAATATGTTCAAAATCACCAGCAATTAGAGAAATGCAAATTAAAACTACACTAAAATTTAATCTCATTCCAGTTGGAAAGGCAATTATCAAGAATACGAGTAATAATAAATATTGGGGAGGATGTGGGGGAAAAGATACACTCATACATTGGTGGTGGGGCTGCAAATTGGAGCAACCTCTCTGGAAAGCAGTATGGAGATTCTTCAGAAAATTTGGAATGGAACCATCATTTGACCCAGTTATCCCACTCCTTGGCCTAAATCCAAAAGAAGTGAAAATTAGCATATTACAATGATGCAGCCATTTCAATGTTTATAGCTGCTCAATTCACAATAGTTAGGCTATGGAACAAACCTAGGTGCCCTTCAACAGATAAATGGATAAAGAAAATGTACATATACACAATGGGATGTTACTCAGCCATAAAGAATAATAATATGGCATTTGCCAGTAAATGGATGGAACTGGAGAATATCATGCTAAGTGAAATAAACCAATCCCCCCAAAACCAAAGGTTGGATGTTCTCTCTGATATGTGGATGCTGACACACAATAAGCAGTGGAGGAAGGAAGAATAACAATTCACTGGATTAGACAAAAGGGAATGTAGGGAAGGGAAAGGGGATGTGAATGAAAAAGACAGTATAATGTTGGACATAACTATCCTGTATTCATATGTGAATACATGACCAATGTAACTCCACATCATGTACAACCATAAAAATGCAAAGTTATACTCCAGATATGTATGATATGTCAAAATACATTCTACGGTCATGTATAGCTAAAAGGAACAAACTAAAAAAAAATTTAAGAGACTGACTTCAGCATGTGTGATCATTAAAAATTTGCTAAAGGGCTGGGGATATGGCTCAAGCGGTAGTGCGCTCGCCTGGCATGCGCGGGGCACTGGGTTGGTTCGATCGTCAGCACCACATAAAAATAAAATAAAGATGTTGTGTCCACCAAAAACTAAAAAATAAATATTAAAAAATTCTCTCTCTCTCCCACTTCTCTCTCTAAAAAAAAAAAATTGCTAAAAATGGGCTGGGGTTGTACCTCAGTGGTAAGAGTGCTTGCCTTGCACACACAAGGCCCTGGGTTCGATCCTCAGCACCACATAAAATAAATAAATAAAAATAAAGGTATTGTGTCCATCTACAAAATTTTGCTAAAAATATTAGATTTCTAAAGTAGCCTTTTGCTCCACCACTCCCTGTCTTTTTACCTATTTCAAGTGATATTAAAGAATTATTGCTAGTATTTTGACAATATAATGGTTTTTTGGTTGTTTCTAATTCTGAGACACTTAGGAGATTGTGTGTGTGTGTGTGTGTGTGTGTGTAGTATTAGGGATTTAATGCAGGAGAATTCCACCACTTAGTTGCACCCCAGCCCGTTTTATTTTTATTTTGAGACAGGATCTTGGTAATTTGCTGAAACTTGCAATCCTCCCATCTCAGCTGTCAAGTCATTGAGATTATAGACGTGCACAGATTAGAGCCCACACTTGCTTATGAGATATTTTTGATGAAATGTAAAAAGGCCTTTAATTTGCTTAAATACAATAGAAGGCAATATATATATAGAATATAGATATGAAATAGGATTGACCATGAGTAAATAACGGATGATTCTGGGTGATTCATTCTCCATATTGCCATTGAAGTTTTTCATGATAAGAAGTTAAAAGAAGTCACTGTGACTATTATGTATAAAATGGACTGTGGAAGACAAGAGGGACAGCAGTTAGAAGGGGCTCTTATTAGCCAGCCAGGTAAAAAATGAGTGTGGCTGAGACTAGGTATGCAAGGCAGAAATTAGAAGAGCTTGGTTTTAGAATATAGCAGTAAGGTGGAGCTGCCTGGACTTAATGGGTTGGATGTGAGAAGAAGCAAATGATAGAATGCAAATTTAGTCCTATCTTCTAGTGACGTGACAGAGATTTTCCTCCTTTCCCAAAAGCACAATGACTTTTTTGCTCTTTACAGACTATCCAAGCAAACAAGGAGCTGATTCTGTGTCATCCTTTCTCGAATTGCTTTTGGAGAAGAACACTGGAAATGTGCACAGGCTTTGACCAACCTGGCTTATGGCTACCTGGTACTAAGAGGTACTTGGTTCTCCAGCTGGATCTGGGTGGGACAGCTTATGAAGCCAAAATTAACCTATACACAACTCCTTGGGGGTGGAGATGACTGAGAGGGTACCTTCCTCTTATTTGGGCAATATAATGGTTTTTTGGTTGTTTCTAATTCTCAGAGACACTTAGGAGATTGTGTGTGTGTGTGTGTGTGTGTGTGTGTGTAGTATTAGGGATTTATCGCAGGGGCACTCCACCACTTAGCTGCACCCCCAGCCCTTTTTATTTTTATTTTGAGACAGGGTCTCTCATCAAGAGAATTGAGAGTCCATGGATAAGGCAGACAGCAAGTCTTAGTAATAAATATAACAAAGAAAATGATAGTTATTGAGTATTTGACATGTTCAAAGGTAGTTTTATTAAGTTTTTTTAATATATCTTGGATGGAGCTACTGTTATTATCCCTAGTTTATAAACAAGACACTGAAGCAGGGTTTCCAGCCACAGATCAATAGGGAAAATATAGGAAGATACGTGTACTCCCAGCACCAGGGAAGCAGACCCAGTAATCGAATTTGAGTTCTAAAAACTGAATTCAAGTTTTAGAAGATCTGGCTTAGAGAAAGTCAGGGCCTCATCCTATAGAAGTTATGTTTCTGGAAGATACTGTGGTTTGGGAGTAGAAGATGGAATTTATTTACTAAAACTGGAACTCAAGTGAAAGCTCCATGAAGAAAGGTACTTTAGAGTTGAGACTCCTTATATATTTGTTGACAGACTGAGGCAAGAACCCATTTTTAGAACAAGGGTCATGGCCACTTGATCCTTGGCCCTTGACCAACCATGTCTCCCTACATGGACTGTTTTTACTTTTACTATGGAATTCACTATACTTTATTCATATGCCCTTTGTTTAAATGCCTCTGCCTCTGAAATAGAAGCCTCTTGAGAGCAGGGACCAGTTCTCAATCTAGAATATGTCCTTGTACACAATATGTATCAGCATGTTATTGCTTGATAGATATAAATTGCTTGCCTGTGGCTTTTTCTAGTGTCATCAGTATGAAGTGGGGTATAGCCCAAGTAATTTAAGGACTTAAGAAATTTGAGGATTTAAAAGGAAGGAGAACCAATATACGTGGGCTGTAATGATCTTAGATGTCAAAATTCAGAATGTTGGATAAAGTTAAAATTGAATTCACTTCTCAGGTATTAATCTCAACACATTTTCCTTCTTAGGGATCCTTAGGCCCTTTTACATTCATTTGTTTTTAATTTAACTTTAGATTAATGTGATAAGTTCTCACATGGTTGGGAATGGTGGTGCTGAGAGTTACAGGCCATGTTAGAACATCTATTTTGTGCCAAGAGAAGGAGGGATTCCTCACTTACTGGAAGAGCAGGTAGCCACCTATCTGTGAGATTCGAGGGATACAAGAAAGGCCCTCAACAAAAAGAAATATTCCCCTATTGGGGCTTCATTCTTCATTATTTGGATCTCTGTATTCCATTCAAACTGATTTCCTCAAAAATGTGCTGCCTTGGGTTGGGATTATGGCTCAGCGATAGAGCACTTGCCTAGCACAAGTGAGGCCCTGCATTCAACCCTCAGCACCACATAAGAAGATAAATAAATAAAATAAAGATATCCATCTACAACTAAATATATATATATATATTTTTTAAAAAAGCACTGTCTTAATGGCAAGAGTACCACTTTAACACTTTTAGAACTCCTTTTACAAGCCTGGTAGGACTGTGCTCGGTGCTGGGGATACATAAATGAATACGAGTAGTCCCTCTGCCTTGAGAGCTTACAGGGTCTTATAATAGGACCTCACAATAGTGGTGGAAACAAAGTTCCAGGGGATGTTAATCAGTGGTGCTGCTCCTGAGGAAGGTCAGGGAAGGTTTCAGAGAGAAGGTAGTATTTGTTCTGTCTTTGAAGGATGAGTGTAGGTCCAAGTAGATTTTTGAGGAGAATGGTATAATATCCAAAGTTGGCCCTGTATGTGTGGATCTGAGGAGTGGGAACAGAGAGGGAAAGTCCTTACACAGACTGTAGGTTCTGTGTAGACTCAAGGATTCAGTTTAGAACAGAAGATATTTTAGGACAGACAGGTTTTGACTGGAAGTGAAACTGAAAAGGTAATTTGGGCCCAGATATCAAGGTGTTTGAGGAGGTTTTATGAGAGCATTGATGATGTAATATAATCAAGTTTGTGTTGTTAAGTGAGAAACTCTAGGTTAGACTGGTGGAGAAAGTGGAGGTGAAGATCAGTCAGTCTGTTATCCTGTATGGATGAAAATGAGGGCATTGACCACGGCAGTTAGAATGAAATGAGATAACTTAAAATGTAGAATTGGTGACATTTAATGATCAATTCATTATGGAGTGGGAAGGACATGGAAGAATTGAAATAGTATGACTATTTCAATTAAAGACTAGACTAGGAACTGACAGTACATAGCTCCGTGGCAGGATACATGCTTAACATGCACAAGGCCCTGGGTTTAATTCCCAGCATCTAAATAAATAAATATAAAAAATTAAAAATGAAGAGCAGGTTGATAGAGGAAGGGGAAAGAAGCTGCTGGGTATGGTTTCAGACAGGCTTGTATTCAGTAGACTGCTGAAAAGTGGATGTGGAGCTCAGAGAAAATGTTAGTTTGGGAAGAATTGGGTAGCAAGTTGAGACCATAGGAGTGAATGATTTTGATCAGAAAATGTGTACAGAATGAGAGGGGAAGAGGGCAAAGGGCATAAGACCTGAGGACAAGAAGGAATGGATAACAAAAGTGGAACAAAGGAAATACAAGAATCATGGAAGCCGAGGGAAGAGAGGATTTCAAAAGGAAGTACAGTTGGTTTCAGCAGCTGTAGGTAGTAGAAAGAGGTCAGATAGGGTAAAGGCCGGAGAGAACCACGGGGTTGACAATTGGTAGGTCATTGAAACTTGGTTTGGCATGGAACACTCCTTGGGCCCTGGAGAACCCAAATTCAAAAAGGCTTTTGCTCTGATTTAGACTCGAGGTTGGTACAACTTAAACTAGAGAGGAAAGTGTTTGGGAGGAAGACTTATCTGAACTGGAATAAGGCCAGATGCTACTGCTTTTGGTGTGGGTAGATTACTATGGTAGGCCTATGGAAGGAGCTTATCTTGCATCTTCTGAAATCTACCCTTTCTATGATCAACCAAAAACTGACTTTGAGTTTTTTTTAGTTAAATTAGGTCAAAATAAGTAAGCAGGTCATATCACAGAAGATGGTGAGGACATCCTTTTCTCTCTGCTACATGAATGGAGAACTCCATTTGGGATAAAAGGTTGGAGAGAGGAAGGTTTTTCATTTTTCTAGATGGACAAACAGCTTTCTGGTTAAATGAAGTACTCACATAGTATCCCCATGCCTAGACTTGATCCCAGCGTTTCTAATACCCAGCCTAGAGTGCTTCTAGAATAGATGATGATTGTGACCTTTCCTTGAGGCTAGCTCAGTGGCTTCTATCGCAGTTGTAGTCCTTACCCAGTTTCTTCTCTCCTTTTTTTTCCCCCAGGGTCTAGTGCATGGAATAAAACAAATAAGGATTTGAAAAACTGCAAACCTTTTAGAGGGATAAAATTCTTGCTGAGTTCCACTTAGTTTTGTTGTCATTAATCCTGTAACTGCTTTAAAATGGACAGAATGTATGAGCTAGCTTCCTGTGTGGGCGGGACGTGTGCATCTGCGTTCATGCCTCACTGCACATGCTCATATTTTACAGCCATCAGATCTGGGCTCCTCATTTCCCTCTCAGCCTTTTCCAACATTGGAATAAGGAGTCAAGCCCAAAGGCTGATTTCTCTTGATAAACAGTTTTCCATGAAGATGTAGTGAGAAGCATGTATGTGAAGTATTATAAAGAGTACTTGGGGAAATATAATGTGTACAAACCCTCAAAGAATTTACAACCAATTGTGGAAATGAACTACTATAGACCTGTGATAGAAGACATTTTAAGATAAATGTCATGTAATTGGTTTAAATAAAGGGCTTTGAAAAATTGGGTGAAGTTATTCCTGGCTAAGATGGTAATTAATTAGTAGATTCAGAAAGGAGGCAGCATTCAAGCAGGACTGTAAAAAGTAAATCGTGTTTGGGTGGCAGAAGAAAGGTGGGATATTTCTAGTCAAAGAGAAGGATGTGAGCAAAGGCACGTAGAAGGAACATGCAGTGTCTCTTCAGACAGCAGGGAGCAGCATGCTGGATAAGAATTGGGCTAGGAAGATGAACCTGGAAGGGAGGGTGCACGGGGTAGACCACAGTGAAATTGTAAATATGGGTAAAGGAATTTGTAATTTATTTGGTATGGAGGGAGGATTATTAGAGATTTTCCATCAGGATGGTGAAAATATCAAAGTGTACTTTAATATTTAGTCTAGTAATTAGAGCTAGAGTGAAAGCTATCTCAGTCATCTAAGTCTAAAACTAGGCTAATGACAGGGAACTGGTGACAAAGTAAGGAGCCAATGAAGGAAGGATACATTTATTTTTTTAAACCAGAAATCCTACTTCTGGGCATCTTTCCTAAATATACACATGTAATATATGGACGAGATTATTCTTTGCAGCATTTTTATGGTAGTAAAAGATTGCAAAAAACCAGGTGTCCATCAATGGAGAAGCAGTATATACACAACAGCAGTTTTTAAAAAGAGCACGAGGAACCTCTGTACACTTCTAGAGAGAGATCTCCTGGATGCATGTTTAAGGGAAAGGAAATGAACATTGCAGCAGTGTTACAACATGATTCTTTTTATAAGAAAGAGGCAGAGAGAAATGAGAATGTGGATTAAATTTACATGAAGAAGATGCAGTGAAGGATATACAGGAATGAAATAAAAAAGTTACTTAGAGGGTGATTATGGTGAAAAGAAACAGGGTTGGAAGGGATACCTCTCAATGTTTACCTTTTCATGTAATTTTAACTTTTCAATCAGAGAAATTACTTATTCAAAAAGATCATTATAAGGAAGACAGTGAAGAAATA